TCGCCAAATTGTATAATTAGGAACCATATAATATGAGTTGGTGTTTTGCAATAGAAATTGTTTGTAACCTTTAAACTCTTGTGTGGCAGACTGAAATTCAACAGGGGGAGACGTAAAAGGGTTGGGGTTAATTCAACTAAAGGAAAGTATTCTTTATATTAGCGACATCTTCGCCAAATTGTATAATTAGGAACCATATAATATGAGTTGGTGTTTTGCAATAGAAATTGTTTGTAACCTTTAAACTCTTGTGTGGCAGACTGAAATTCAACAGGGGGAGACGTAAAAGGGTTGGGGTTGAACAACACCTGTTGGGTTTCTGGAGCCTTGTGTGGCAGACTGAAATTCAGCAGGGGAAGACTTTTATAATAGGGATGGGGGTGAGCAACACCTGTTGGGTTTCTGGAGTTCCCCCCATGCAAGGCTCTGGTAGCTTTTAAACCCTTGTGTGGCAGACTGAAATTCAACAGGGGAAGACTTTTATAAAAGGGATGAGGGTGAGCGGCACCTGTTGGGTTTCTGGAGCTCCCCTCCCATGCAAGTCTCCGGTAGCTTTTAAACCCCTGTGTGGCAGACAGGGATTCAATAGGAGAAGACTTTTATAATAGGGATGGGGTGAGCAGCACCTGTTGGATTTCTGGAGCTCCCTCCTCTGGTAAGTTTTTAACTCTTGTGTGGCAGACAGCAATTCAACAGGAGACGACTTCTATCATAAGGATGGTTGTGTGTGATTGCAACCTGTTGGATTTCTGTCTCCAATGGAATGGTTTTTAATCCTTGTGTGGCAGACAGAAATTCAACTGTGGTAGCTCTTTCCTAATAGGGATTGGACAAAGGAAGGGGACACCTGTTGGATTTCTGCTGCTCCACTTCAATATAAAGCTCTTCCACTAACAGCTGTAGGACTGGCAGAAATTCAACAGGGGGAAGGTGTGATGGGGATGGGGAGGAAGCTGAAACTCTTGGGTTTGTGGTGTTCCACCACAATGCAAGGCTCTTTGTCAACTTTTCACCCATAGGTGACAGGCAGAAATTCAACCAGGGAAGACATTTTATAAGGAAGAATGGGAAGCAGCATGGGTTGGTTTTCCATCACTCCCCTTGCTGTGCAAGGCTCTTGTCCCTTAACTGCTGTGTGACAGGCAGATATTCCACAGGGAGAAGCTTCTTACCCCTCAAATGATGGAGAGTGGCACCTGTTGGATCCCTGCCTGTTCCATCGCTGTTGAATGTTCAGGAGCATTGCCCGGAAGTAGTAAAATCATTCAATATTGTATAAATAGGATTCCTGTTTCCAGAACAGTTGTGTGCCCAAAATAATAAAGAGAGGCGTTTTGTTGAGCTGGTCAGGGAAGCTCTACCTGTTAGACTTCAGTCTGTTTCCCAGCTGTTGATTTGTAACTGGAGGGATATTAGAAATCCAGCTGGTGAAGCTTTCCACAGGGATGAGGGAAAGCGTCCATTTTTGGATTTCTGCCTGTTGCACAGGGGTTAAATACGCGAAACCCCAAGTAGGGGAAAAAATAAATCCTGTATCCCAGAAATGATTGTGCCTTTAAATCTATGGAAAGGTTGCCAGTGTGATTTGTGGAAAAGTAGGAAGAAAAGACTGTTTTTACACAATATGTTATAAAAACTGTGTGTGGAGAGTCTGTCTACCTGTCTACAACGAAAAACAAAATCCGTGTAGTCCCTTTTGTGGCGGCCACCCCAAAATGACATAAAACACTGCACACGTTTGAGCTTATCAGAACTCTTTATCAGGCCAAATGTAGGGGGGAAAGCAGATTTGCCAAGTCAAGGAGACAGGCATGATGAGGTCTTAAGACCTGGACCTGGGAAAAATGCATTTCCCACCTCCATTTTTTAATTTTTCTAACTCAAGGTCAGTATTGTCTACTCAGACTGGAAGGGGCTCTCCAGGGTCTCAGGCAGATGTCTTTCCCATCACCTCCTGCCTGGGCCTTTTTTAACTGGAGATTCTGGGGATTGAACCTGGGACCTTCTGCATGCCAAGCAGAGGCTCCGGAACTGACCAGTAGACCACACAAACAGACATGAAGCTGCCGTATACTGAATCAGACCACTGTTCCATCAAGGTTGGTATTGTCCACTCAGACTGGCAGTGGCTCTCTAGGGCAGGGGTGTCAAACATGTGGGCCAGGGGCCAGATCAGGCCCCTGGAGGGCTTCTAGCAGGCCCTCAGTGGAACTGGCTGTCTTCTGCTTCTTCTTCTAGTTCTGCTGCTGCTGGGTCATCGTAGGTTTGCAGCTTACAGATACACACCTGAACAGCAGCGTCAAGATTGCAACAGCACAGACATTTTGACGCAATAATTCAGAGCAAGAGGTGTCAGTTATCAGACACTGCTCAATACACAAAATATTGCAAGAGGGCTAATGTTTTAAGCATGTTTTTATTTTAAGTAGCCTCCCCCCACCCCATTTTAAGTTAAAACCCTATCTCCGCTACCTGGCATTACATTTTATGACACAAATGGCCTGGCCCAACAAGGGCTCATTTATGTCAGATCTGGCCCTCGTAACAAATGATTTCGATACCCTTGCTGCAGCATCTCAGACTGAGGTCTTTCACATCACCTACTGCCTGGTCCTTTCAACCAGAGATGCCGGGGATTGAACCTGGGACCTTCCGCATGCCGTGGCCCCTTCCCACCTGACCTGATGAAAACTTCTGCTGAATTCAGAAGCTTGTGCAATGTTTTCGTCACGTCAGTTGCGCCCGATAAAAGTTATTGCATGAATTTAGCAACTTACTCTGGATTTTGCAAAGACCGGTACAGCTGTTCACAGCTTTCCTTTTTTTTTTTTTTGCAGCAGAAACCCAATTTGATCTCCTCTGTCACCTCCCAGCAACTATCTTAGGGAACCCACGTGCAGAAATCCATTTGAAGTACAAGCCATTTCATTTGCAGGAACTGTGTTAAAACTGTCAGTGTCTTAACTGCGTTGCTCCCCCCCTTCCCCTTTACAGTGTGGCAGCATCCTTTCCTGAATGTCTTCAAGCACTTTAAAGTGGAGGAAGGGAAGAGGTCCACCAAGGAAGGCGATGTCACAACCGTTATGGTATGGCTGTGGACTCTTTGAGTTCAGTGGTAATCTTGAAAACCTTTTTCACAAGTATTCTGGGGTCTTTGGCAGGTCAAGCCCTTCTGGTAAGGCGATGTCACAACCGTTATGGTATGGCCGTGGACTCTTTGAGTGCAGTGGTAATCTTGAAAACCTTTTTCGCGAGTATTTTGGGGTCTTTGGCAGGTCAAGCGCTTCTGGCGGCTGAGCTTGAGCGTAATTATTTGTCTCCTTCCATTTTGGCATCCCGTTAAAAACATCTAACAGCTAGACCTCCACTGAATTCTCGCCA